TAACAACCCACCGCCCTTCCAAGTATCCACGGTTAGGACAATCTTTGTAAAGATCCTAACTTCACGCCCGACCAGAAGACGTGGACGTGGGTTTAGGGTTTGACATGGAATCCTGTCGGCCTTATAGTGCATGTTGTATAACTTATGGTAGCCCCCTAAACCCTAAACCCTTTAAAGAGACCGTATAAACGACCCCCTAATACCGTCGGTACCTCGGCCTCAGGAGCGTCCGCGGTTTCAGGAGCCTCATCCTCCTGCTGTTGTGTGACCTGGCTGCGTAAATCACGGAACTTCTGAGAGGGGTTTAGGAGTTTAGGGCTTATAAGGTTTACACGGTCTAGGGGAGTTTAGGGCTTAGGGATGCTTCAAGAGCTTTAGAGCTTGAGGACTTACGGTTCAGACTTGTCGTTTGGCTTTGGAAAACTCGATGTCTTTATGCTTCGCAGGCTCCGCGGCTCAAGGCGTTCGGAGTTTTGGGTTTAGTTTTGGGTTTAGGGTTTAGGCACGGCGAATCGCTGGCCTCGTTTGAAGCTGGCGGCACTACCTGCCAACGCACATGTCTCGGCATCACCCGCTGCTACTACAACACGCACACGGATGATCGTCATAAGTCATAACGACAGTACCACTACTGCTGGTGGTTGCAGATAGTAGCCCAAACCCAGAATTTCTATACTCTTAAATCTCAAACCCTTTTAGACGGCTAGAACATCTGATGCAAAGACGTCCGTTGCCTCAGCAGGTTCTTCTTCCTCGAGCTCCTGAGCCATGAAACTTTCAGCTTTTAACGTTTACGGCCCCAGTTTAGTTTAGCGCTGGGAGTTTCAAAGAGCAAGGACGCCATCATAACAAGCCGATGCACCCGAGCTGGTAGGTGCTGCATCATACAGAGAACTGCGAGAACCCTCCCTTGCCGATCTTTCAGCACCGAAGCTTAGTGATATTAGAACCTTAACATCGCTTAACTATGAGAACCCCTCCCTAGCTATCTTTCAGCACCCAGGAGCCGCTAAACCCTAAACCCTTTAACAGCAGCCGGCGCCTCGGAAGCTTCAGGTGAAGGTACTGCAAGATCTGCTTTGAAAGGCACCGCTCCCTGCGGCGCGTTGGGCTTAATGCTCCGGCGGTAGGGCTTAAGTAGGAGTTTAGGGTTCAGGGATCAGGGCCGCGAAAGCATAGTCGGGGCCTTAATAATTAGAACAGGGGTTTGGGGTATATTATACAATACCTACAACAAGGAACCCCAAAAATAATATAGGCGATTATTAAGGCCCCTATAGTATACCCTGACTCAAAGCCCAAAAGCACAACAACGAATGATTTGTCAGTAGCACGGGCAAGTGAACTGCGATAGCTTTCATCATAATACCGTCATCATTATAACAATAACGTGGACTAGGGTTGACTTCTCTGATTCAAACACTGTCGTCATGATCCATGTGCCCACCTCTTTGGGTCTTTTCATCGAGGAGGTGACGGCCGAGCGCGACAAATACATCGCTGAATCTGCCGGGCCCTTTCCCACGGGGGCCCCCGTGGGAGAGGGTCGTGAGCGCCAATTCGCATCTTCATCCGGGCTAAGGCCAGTGCGGTTAAATTTTCCACCGCCCTTTCCGCCTTTGTAATTGCCCTTGAAGTCGCCATTGAACTGGCCTTGAAACCCTTGGTTCATGACCGGTGTCATGACACCGCCCATGCCCATTCCCATCATCATCTGCCCGCCCTGCGCAGGCATTCCTTGCATCTGCTGTCCCATTCCCATCATCATCTGCCCACCCTGCATTTGCATTCCTTGCATGTTCTGCTGCATGCCGTTCATGACAGGTACGCAACAGACGATGTAGCCATCATTGTTGGCTTGGGATCCTCCGAACTGCTGCTGAGGCCACTGCTGCTGCTGCTGCTGGCCCTGCTGCTGTTGGCCCTGCTGCGGTCCCCATTGGGGTTGTCCTCCGCCACCCCACTGGGCCTGCTGAACTCCCCCTCCCCACTGCTGCACCCCCCACTGTGGCTGCCCCCATTGTTGTTGCTGCCCCTGTTGGGGCCATTGCTGCCACTGCATCATATGGCAATCATATGGCAGTCTAATCACTCTCTTTCTGAGCCGGAGAAAAGCTGCAAACGGAAGTAGCCAAGTTTCGACGCCGAGGGCATGCTTGAGTACGTCGGAACACTCACTTTGGTCACGGTGGAAGTTGCACTCCTTTTCCCTTGCAGCGAGAGACTTCAGTGTATACTACCCGGGCACAGCGCCTCGTCTCTGTGCCCGTCATGTCTCCCACCGGCCTGTCCTGCCGGACACAAGTGCGCTTTCAAGAACAAGGCTGAACCCAAGGCATCCTGCGCTGCATATCAACCACAAAACGCAGCTCAGATCACTGAGACATCGACACCCGGACCGCAGCCGCTGGCCCAGAAGCAATGAGCCATCCGATCCAAGCAAGGCACAGGGTGTATCGTCTAGGGCACAGGAAAATCGGATATGTAATTGGATGGTGTGAGGTAGGGTTAGTCTTTGGCTGAAGATGAACACAGCTTGGGCTGGGGATTCAGTAAGCTTGCTGACCGGGGCTTCGGGCTTGGCATCCCGGTTCGGGAAATGTTGCACAACCCCAATGCATGAAGGCCGGCTTCAAGATGCAAGGACGTCTTGGCAATGAGTTGTCACAGGCAAAACCACTTAGCATCGAACCTCGAATTTGTGTAGTGTGAATCCTGTTTCGGGCAAACCGAAGTGCAACGCACTTGCAGCCGCCCCCGAGACAACTTGTGAAGGAACAAACGTTCCATTAACGTTCATGTAGGATGTAAAATTTAAGCTCGGCCTCCCACGAAACCTCAGCCAACTGTGCTTCTCTGCAGGGCCGGCGACTGGACGTTGTTTCGATTCATTATCTCAGAGAGCCCTTTTTACCTCAAGCAATTGGCACTCGAGGCAGACTGATGAAACCTTGCTTCGCCGACTTTGTGAGGTGGGCCAAGTGCAGAACGACCACGCCGTATGCAATGGCAGATAGCAATTGTGAGGGACGCACAGGTTTCACTATATTAGGACTTCCCTCCTTCGAAAACTTCCAGTGGGCCTCAGCTAGACAAGCCTTTATAGAAGAGCCGGAGCACACTCATTACCATTATCATTACACGTTCTCTGGTCGTAGCAGTGAACTGACGAATCAGTTCACGCTACTACAGTACTACAGTACTACTACTGCTGCTACTACTGCTACTACTACTACTACTACTACTACTACTACCACCTACTACCTGCTACCTGCTACCTGCTACCTACTACCTACTACCTACTACCTACTACCTACTACCACTCCTACCACTACTTACTACTACTGCTTCAACTAGAGTTGAGGGCTTCATTCGTGCGGCAACTGCAGGGCTTCATCCGTGGGGAGCCTCATTGCAGCGCCATCGTCTGGCGTTACAGGCCTCGTCAGCACAACATGCAAAACTTAAATGCTGGTCTTGACTTAGCGCCCAATGTTGACACTGTTCTAGCCTTCGGGTTGCTGTCTTGAGCTTGGAAAATCTCAGCCGCCTCCTTCCCCATTGTCTTTATGCTTTCACGCCCTGAGACTCGGAGCCCTGACTGAGTTTCTTCCCACTCCAACGTGTGTGCCTCATGATTCTCCTATTAAGCCTACAAGATGATATGGCCTTCCTGGCAAATGTGTCTGCCAGGATTGATGCACAGATTCTTGCGTGCGCGTCCTCTACTACCATGTCGGCGCGCCTCCGGATCATCTATCTTCAGCAGCACCTGGCTCCTTCGACAAAGAAGCTGGAGGACAGCTTCGAGGGAAAATGGACTTCTAAGTCGAAGTCTGCATAGCACCAATCACTGGAGATTAAAGGCTGGTGCAGACAGCTGGTCTCAGAATTTCAAAGCAACTCAGAAGTAAGCTGCCTCAACAGCTTCATCGTTGTCCGCTGCCGTGGTGCCCGCAGGTTGTGCTGGCGTCTCTGCGACTTCCTCCTCCCCAAGCTGAACAGTAAACCGAAACACAGGGAAGCCAACTGAAGCATCATCGTGCTGACTGGCCTTCTCGGATGCAAACTGTTGCTCCCGACTGACGCTCGAAGTGACTGCCCCGAACCTTGTCGGGATCCGCAGATTGTTCGGCAGGATCGCTTGCAGGCTCTGCTTCGGCTGCACTTTCAGGTCGCGAGTCCTCAACACTTCGACTCTAAAACTTGCCGGTGTCCAACGCTGATGCACCTCCTCTGGGCGAGCATCTGCAGATTCCTCTGCTTCCTGCACAAGACACAAGTCTAGTTGGAGGCCGGCAGAGGTTTGGTGTTTCTTGAAGTGACGGCCTGACGGAAGGTGTAAATGCTAATCTGATTGTCGCCCCGGAATGCTCTCAGCCAGAACAGAAGCATTGAAATACCCACTGCAGCACGGAATCCATCCCAAGGAAACGCCGACGATGTAAAGTCCGCAGGGTGCGACCACAATTAAGCAGCGGCAATCTATAGCTATTCATGCTATATGGTGAAAGGCTAGAATCAGCAATCAGCAGTCTGGCTCCAACTACCAAAGGAGCCATCCTTAACGGATGGACAGTCCGATGCAGCCAGGATCCTTAATGACCTTAATGAAATCTGATAACCCCTTGTGTGATCCATAATGACCCCTGTAATTCTGTAATCTTGTAATTTCGTCCAGGGCTCGTATGACTACTGACAAAGCCCCAACTTCACTCGCAGAGGGATTACATCACCAATGCCCGCTGCATGGCAATTTTGTCACCCCTGACTGACACATGTGCAGCAAAGGTGGCCGCCTTTCTCACTGCCGAGTTGGATTGAAGATGCCCGTTCTACCAATAGAGGTGTCACAAAGCAGGGCTTCCCGATTTGTGAAACCCTGCTGGGATTTACAATTCTACAAATTACTTCGATCTAATGCCAAGAGGCCTGCGGCCTCTAGTTCTAAAACTCACCAATCTTCCTGCACGAATTCGCTCAAGGGAACCGACCGGTTCCTTCTTCGAGGGGCTGGCTCAATGTCTAAATTTGTATACATATATATATATATACATATATATATATATATATGTGCTTATGTTGCGGATCGCCGATCAACAACACTATTACTTGTGTAGGCCCCAGGGACATGATGCGTACACCTGACTTTTAAATCTTGAAGTAGTCTTCGAGCCCGAGCCTAAACTCGGCTGTCGAGCTCTGACGCAGCTTTCACGCAATGACATTGGCAATTCGAACTGACCATTCCAGAGCTACTTGTTGCGCTTCCTTGCTCGCACTCCCCTTGCAAATCTTGTCCGCGACACCCTGCAACTCCTCCAGCTCGTCGATGGCCATCTTGATCATCACGTCAAAGGATGCATTAGCTGTCCCCAACTTCTGCTCAAAAAACAGATGAACGTATTCTGAAGTCCAAAATCTCGGTGGCAACACATCCAGCACCGTCTCTGCAGGCTCCTGCCTCAGCTTCCACACCATGCAGGGCCCTGAATCCGCATCTGTGCAGCATTCCGGTCCACGGAGGTCCTTGTCCATTGCGACCGCGGACGACGGGAGACTCTGTAAAGACTAGCTATGGGAGGCAACACTCTCCGAGCAAGAGTGGCTTTGAAAATGTCCACCAAGGTCCTGCGAAGGACTCATTTGTTTCTTACCAAGTCAAGGACCCGAGACTAATGCTCACCAGTTTGGTCCCTACATGTTGCGCAGGGAACCTCAAGAAGGACATCATCTGAAAATGAGGCCAAAAACCTCTGTCGCCGCTGAAACTGAACGGGGCACCGCAGCGAATGCTGGCTTTACAGTTAAAGGCACGTCCGCAAACAATGAACCTCCCCCCCCCTTTATAATACATATTCGCAGGTGTCGTAAACTATAATAGTATGTTTGGAACGATTTACAAGGGGAGGGGATTATACTGGCCCCACGACATGCATGCGGGACTGGACAGGCTCGTCATGCTTGACCCTCCCTAGCGCGAACCTGGAGCATTAAACCATGAACCCTGCTCGGGATGCAGGGGTCTCTGGCCAATTGCATGCAACATGGGATCGATAGTATGCATGTGTAACAATCACCTGGCTTTGCAGACCCTCACCGGAGCCCAAAACTTCCCCAAACACCCTCAACCCACCCCCTAAGCTCGGAGATGTTTAAGCGGAAGCCGGACATGTCAAGCTCAGAATGCAGGGGCCTTAATAATTAGAATAGGGTTTTGAGGTATAAATACGGAACCCTCCAAAATAGTATTGGTAATTATTAGGCCCCTATATTAACCTACCAAGTTTGCACTGCGGCATACAGAGACGCAGGTGGACGCAGATTAGCTGACACATGCACTCAGTTGGACGCGTCTCTACGTATGCACCCTGTTGATGTAAGGACAGTGTGCTTACATCTGGTATCACTTTGGACGAAGGCGATGATGAACATCTCATGTTGGTGATGATCACTGCGATCATGCACGGTGCTTGGTATGCATCTAGGGCATCTTCCGTAAGGATTCTACAAAAATGCACATCAGTGCTCTGCCTCCGGCAGCACCTCAGTCGACTCCAGCGGCTCCGCTGCCGGCGCTACTTCCGGCTCATCCTCGTCTTTGTGCTCGATCGGCTGAAGGGGTTCGGCCTTCGAGACAAGACTAGTACCCATGTCTGGAGTAACACATGTTTAGTCTTCGTGGGCTGGTGTGGGATAGTACGCAAAACAACTAACGAAACAGACGATACAGGCTTACACTACAAAGTAAGACAACATCTACATGTTTGGTCTCGGCATATCTCGGCCTCGGCATCAGGACTGTCCGGAGCCTCCCGGGATTCAGCGGCTTCCTTCTGTGCGGGTACCTGGCCACTCGACCGACATGCGAGCTTCTGCACTGGTTTAGGGTTTAGGGATGTTTAGGGTGCAGGAATACAAATTCGTGGGCGACCACTGGCCTCACTTGAGTCTGACTGGGGTGGAGCTGCCTGCAAAGGCATGCATTTCTGCCTTCGCCCTTCCAATGCAAGAAGGTCCACATTACGAGTTATACGAGTTTTATGGGATCATAATGGTCGTATATATGGACCCTCCGGGGAAGCAAGAAGAATCTTGAGATGTGAACAGGTCCCACATCGCCTCTGCAGCTCCATCTTCGCAGACCTTCCGGGCCAGCTTGAAACTTGCTCTGGTTCGAGGCTTAAGCTTCACATATGTTAATATGTAGGTATATACATATACGAAGCATTAAGACATTATACTCATGCTCATGTATAGAGTATACATGTGCGTATCATTCTATTTGTTGTCTTTCAAACCCAGAAGCGCTTACAGAGGCTTGTGCCTCGGATGCTTCTTCTGCCAGATCTGCTTCCGAAGGCTCTGCTGCCTGCGGCGGGCTCTTGAACGAATCAGCCGGCTGTTGTGAGGCCATTCAGTATTTAGGTGCCACAACCCTAAGGGTCCATGTACCCAAATAGTAGAACATTGGCCCTAAAGTACCCATATAGGGACTACATTAAGGCCAATATTCTACTATTTGGGTACATGGACCCTTAGGGCAAGGTGACCTGAAACTACCGCACTTCGTGACAGTTATTGTTGCCTGAGTCTGAGCCACAAGTGATCAGTGTAAAGCCCGTGGCCACTACAGTGCCTCATCTGCATGCTCCTGCGTGTTTCCCACAGGCTGATCTGCTGCATCCTGCGCAGGAACTGCCGGCAGATCTGCTTGAACCCCCCACGGCACATACTAAACCCCTTTCCACAACAGAATCAACCAAAAGTTCTGAAACCGACACTGAAGGGTTGCCCATTTCCCCCACATGAGTCAAAATCTGAAGGCACACCTTCTTCCTTAAGAGCCCTTCTTGGAATCCTCAAAGGAACCCCTAAAAACCCCGGCTAAACCGAATCTTCCTCGACGAGTTCCTCTTTGGCATCTGCCGGTCGATCCTCGGCTCCCTGCTGCAGGGAACCCCTCCCACAAAACACCTAAACACTTAAACAAACAACCTGCAAAGTTGGGATATCCCATAATTCCCACTGTGGCCCTTAGGGTTTAGGGTTTAGGGTGCAAAGTTGGGATATCTCATAATTCCCTGTGTAGGCCATGCAATCAGGTAGGGACATCCCACCCAAAAGTTTCTGTGTGGGTGTTTTTTTTCCTGATCCTTGGGCTCCATGGAGGCTGGGGTTGTAGGTTAAGGTTTCGGGCTTAGGGTTTAGAAGCTTGTGATGGAGACTTCAGTGTTTAGTTTGTTGAGCTCCTTTTCCGACTGCTTCAGTATTTGGGGTTGAGGGTCTCGAGTTTAGGTTTTTTTTTTTCAGACGGTGGGTTCACAACCCTCCGTTCAAGTAAGTATTGTTGATTGTACAACTGGGGTGTCGGTTTCGGGACCATCTTAAGAAACAGCCATCTCGATTGCAAGGCGTCGTTGGCGTCCGGCTGCTGGGCGTAGAAAAGATGAGGAGTTTTTCGAATGGTCTCAGGACCTCTACATCGTAGCTGTGACCAAACTCTACACCGCCAAACTCTAGACCTCCCAAAACCTTAAACTCTAAGACCCTGAAGTTTAGAGCCTCGGCCTCATCACTCCGGGGGTCGCTGCGGCTCCCTGGTGAGCCCTTGCCAAGGAAGGATTGCAGAGTGATAAGGCCATGATAAGGCCTGTTTTTTTTTTGGTTGTAGTCTTGTGGTCTTCAATCATAGTAGTAATCAACATAAGAATCTGAATGTAAACCTCCGATTTATACACCCCCCCGTATCTCACAAGGCGTGGTAACCGGGATCATAATCGTAAAAGCGTTTCAAGAAAGGGGGTTGATTAACCAGGGTCTACTCTGGCACATGTTTTCATTCAACATTTGCAACCAATTGCGATTCTCGACATTCTGTTTCAACTACCGCATCTCTCATCCGGGGAGGACTAGCTGGGGTGGAACACGAGGCTTTCGGATGCCAGTTTGCTGGATGCGCATTGCGGAACCTAGGGTTCATGGCTCTTTGCCGGACTTCTCGTTTCAGGCTCAAGGTTTGTGCCCTTAGCTTTGGTGTGGCTCCGCCAACGCGTGTTTGCAATGCAACGTGAAGCACTCATGTACACTCATATACATACATACACACATACATACATACATACATACATACTTACTTACTTACTTTCTTACTTACTTACATACTTACATACTTACATACTTACATACACACACATATAGATATATATATATATGTAAATATATATATATATACATATATAGACATGCATACGTACATATATATATATATATCTACATACACGTGCACATTTTTACATACGTCATATATATATATATATATTGATTGATTGATTGATTGATTGATTGATTGATTGATTGATTGATTGATTGATTGATTGATTGATTGATTGATTGATTGATTGGAGGGGCAACATCTTCTGAGTCCTGCAGGGCCAACTAATTGTCTAGGGTTCAGTATTTCAGGGCTTCGGGCTCCGGATGACGAAAAGCCCACAGCTCGAGGCCAGGAGGAAAAGAGACGTAGCATTCAGAACACGAGAAAGAGGGGCGGTAATGCTATCCAAGTCATTACACTGTAATCCTTTCCTCTCCATGGCGAACAACCAGAGTTGGTCACTGCACCATGGAATCGAAGAGGCTTACTTAATGTTAGGGGCCTTAATAATTAGACTGGGGTTTTGGGGTATATTATACTTACTGTAAATATGATAGGGAACCCCCACAACAGTCTTGGCAATTATTTCGGCCCGTATATTATGTTCAGGCCCAGGGGCTTGGCCGAAGCATGAGTAAAACAGGGTGAGAGGCGCAGCTGCTGCAGCGCACACCCCTTACCATCCAAACCCAGGCTTCAGCATGGAACTTCTACTATTTTGGGGGGTTCCTCATTATAATTACGGTATAATATACCCCAAAACCCTATTCCAATTATAAAGGCCATTGCATTAGTCAAGACTCCCAGATGATCCGTACCTCTCGATAAGCTTATCCGAAGACTCTGACCCTAGACTCCTAATGTAGGGGTCTTAATAATAATAATAATAATAATAATTACGAAACGGTTTTGGGGTATATTGTACTATATAAGGAGCCCCAAAATTGTATAGGCAATTATTAAGGCCCCTATATTCGACCCTCCCACAGCGCATGTTCCGGCCATTCCGACGCCCCGCCTCCTCGGGCGCAGGTGCATGGACGTTGAGCCAAGCCTTTGCCGCCTCCTTGCAAAAGCTTCGGGGCTTGATCCCCTTAAGCACAGTCTTGCTTACTTGCACTGCCACTCTGATTGTTGTTGCTCCTCCTACGTCATTGGTGTGTTGGCTCTGTATTTGCAAAGGTGGTGATGGCGGTGATGCAGGCAGTGGTTGTTGTAGTCGGCAGTAGCATCAGCACCCAAGGAGCAAGAGCAGGAGCAGGAACCCGAGCAGAAGCAGGAGCAGTAGCACTAGCAGTAGCCGGACAAGTAGCACAGCAGCAGCAGCAGCAGCAGCAGTGGCCGTAGCCGCGCAGCAGTACAAGCACCCAGTGCCAGTACCCCAACAGTAGTAGAAATCGCTGTAGCAAGAGGAGTAGCATAGCGGACGGAGGGGCAGCTCCAAGCAGCAGCAGTAGTATCCGCAGCAGTAATTGGCAGTAGCAGTAGCAGCAGTCGCAGTCGCAGTCGCAGTCGCAGTCGCAGTCGCAGTCGCAGTCGCAGTCGCAGTCGCAGTCGCAGTCGCAGTCGCAGTCGCAGTCGGCAGTCGCAATCGCAATCGCAATCGCAATCGCAGTCGCCGTTGCAGTCGCGCAAGCAGTAGCAGCACGAGTAGTAGCAGCAGCAGTGTGTGTGTGTGTGTGTAGACTCCTCCGCAGCCTGTTAAGTGTAGCCTGAGGAGGAGCAATAGCTGTAGCACTGCAGCAGCAGTAGCAGTAGCAGAGGCAGCAACAAGGATCTAGAGGACTCATAGCAGCAACAATCACCCAAGCTGCTGCTACTCTCGCTGCTGCGGCTACGGCAACGACGATAACGACGAGGACCAGGACGAGGACGAGGGCGAGGACACTTCCCACAAACCACCTTCACCCAAAAACTCCCCAAACCCAATATTCAAGAATCATTTCCGTATAGTAAGGATGCTAAATACGAGAACCGTGCTGAAGGATCTTCGATTCTGGTGTCAATGCTGCAGCTCCGGACTAGGTTGAGGGTGTGCGAAAACTACTACTAGCCATTACACTCCACGTACCGGAGCTGTTCCAGATTGGCAGGGCTCCATGTCTGGTAACAACAACAACCAGTTTAGATAATCGCTTGGAAAAACAGGGACCACGAAAGGTATATACTCCAATTCAGAACAGGCCCCACCCAATGCTGCCACTAACACGACTGTGTGAAAGCAATGCTGCTAGTCCGTCTCTGAGCCGCAGTCCTGGTCAGGGAGGTAGAAAGGTCGCGGCCTCAAAGAAGACTTGGAGTCCATCAGGTTCAGTTCCAGGGTTTTGGGGTGTGGGAGTTTCATAGGCTGGGGTGCATCCGCTTCTGCAAAAATGAGTATCATACCCGTCGGAAAAAATCGAGTTGTGGCATTCACCAGACTGTAACCGCCGATTGCATGGCCCCACAACCACTAGTCAGCCTACGCCTGAGTCTCGTAAAGATGAAACCGTCGGCGGCAAATCTGCCAGGAACCTCACTCGTAACCCTTACTTCTTCGCAAACTTGGAAGGTTCAAACGTCAAAAGAATGAGGCTGCAACCAAAGCCCTAGTAACAGCCAAAACGCCCACAATTAGGCACCATGAACCTCTGCATGCTAAGCCCCCTAAACCCTAAGCCCAAATACCCTGGGATTTTAAGTCCGTGAGTGTCCCGGCGTCAGACATTCGAGCCGCGCGAGGCCTTGTCCGTGGATTCGGAATTTAGGGTTTAAGGTCTGATTTTTTAGGTTCAGGCCAAAAATACAGGACAAACACAGGGCACAGTGTGCAGGGCTTGGGGTCAGCTTGAGGCTTTGCCAGGACGTCTCGGTTTGCACAGGATGTCTGCTGGACTTGGAGTCTTCGAGTTTCTGGCTTTCGGGTTTCGGACGGGTTTTGGGCAGTTTAGGGTTTGGGAGTTCGGGGCAAAGCCCTCCGGCTAAGACTTCGGATGCGCCACGTCAGACTGCCGAACGCATCTTTCAAGACAAGGTATAACGACCACTCCCCGTAAGATGGTGAATTCCCCATGCAAAATGGTGTGCTCATACTTCCACTCGAGCTGCCCTTGTAGCAAGGAGCAGCAAAAATTACCATGTCGACACAAAAGCAGTTGGTTAAAGTGGAGACCCCCCGAAGTCTTCGAGCCAACCATGTGCTGAACCTGCATGGGTACATCTATACATGTGAGATTTGTCGCTCAATTGTGTCTCGGTTTGGCATGGTTGCGGTCAATTCCTCTTGCCTGCTGTCTCAGTTGCCTGTTAAGAGACGTGCACGATATGCTTGAGTCCTGCTACCGCCTCCTCGGTGCATCGATACGACACACCACGGACTCGACACGTCTTGTCTCATCTGGCAACGCCTAAACGCAAAAACCGTTCTTGTGTGCTGCTGTCACACCCACAATTACAATCTGTGTCCCAAACCGCTAAAAGTGCAACTCGCCTCGGCATGGGGAGGGAGGCAGTCCGTCCGAGTCGCCAAGCCACTCGACGCCGGATATCTGAATCGGGATTCAAGGTATCGGGCTGGAATTGGAACAACAGACCTAATCTTTGCTTTACTTGCCTCAAGTTCTGCAGAAGTTAACATGGGTTGATTGTAAAAGCGCTTCTCCAATCGTTCAAACAGCGTATGCCTCGCCGAAGATTCACACAGCGAGCGATCAGGGGATTGAATCATAATCGAAAATGGGGCTTACGTGTGCAGAAGCCCGCGAAGAGGAAGCACACTTGCAGACACAGCGTTCGCCCTGGAGCTGGCTCAAGCCTTATGAGAAGCACAAAACAACTCGGCGTGCAACGCACATCTGAAGGACTTCAACGCATGCCAGTCACGCCAATAGTTGCAATTCACAATCTGTCCTGTGAGATAGAATTTTTTCCAAGGTGCTGTCGCTCGTCAATATTATGTTTCGTTCTTGGTGACCTGGAAAACCCCTCATCTATTCTTTGTCGTTGTTGCTGAGTTTTTTGATTGTGTAAACTCTTAAATCCCAAACTAGCGGGTACTGAGCTGATGCACAAGAAACGCAAGCACCTCCTCATCAGCTAAACAATTGGCCGTCCACGGCTGGATATGTTGTTCAACACAGGGATCAACCCGAGTGTCTTTGCACGCTGTGCTGCCGTTGCAACTCCCGATATGAGATCGAAGAAGATAGCTGACACATACTTTCACGTACCGTGCGCAAGGTTTTTTATTCAGATTCAAGACCAACCTGAATTATACAATATTGTCTCAGCACAACTACATGGACCATTCAAACGATGAGCCAATATTCGCAGATCGCTCCTTCCGAGCAAGTGCAATGATTCGCCGTTTCTTCCGATGCGGTGCTCGTCATCTCTTCAGGCTGCCAAATGTAGCACCCCTGCGCTGTAGAAACTGCCTAGACTTTCTGCCACATGAACTTTGTGCTTCCGACTAAACCTAGCTGGGCGTACCAAGTACTATATGCATTGGAACATTTAGGACTGTTCTTGCAGTGTGATATTCCGAATCATCACATCCGGCGAGAATCGAACAGGCCTCACTGCGACTTCTGTAAATCACGTCCTCGCCATCTACGCTATAGTGTGTGTGTGTACCCTAAACCCTAAACCCTAACCTAAACCCTAAACTCCCTAAACTCTAAACCCTAAGACCCTAAACTCCCTAAACTCTAAACCCTAAGACCCTAAGACCCTAAACCCTCGGATCTTTGGTTCGGGATGATCCATTTCTTTCCGAGACCAGGCACTCGGAGCCGAATCCCAAATTCAAAGCCGCAAACCCTAAACCCTAAAGCCAGCTTCTGGAATAACCAATACTAACCAGTATATATATATATATATATATGTATATGTATATGTGTTCTATTAGAAGTTGTCTTTTATATTTTATTATGTTGTTTCGTAGTATATCACATTATACTTTATTTATTCTTTTATACTATACCATATTATGTTGTATTATATGATGTTATAATTTATGTTAAATCAGTTTATGTTATATTGCATTATATTACATTGTAATATAGCATAATACATTATAGTATAATATATTACATTGAAGTTTATTACGTCATGTTATGTTATATTATATTATATTATATTATATTATATTATGTTATATTTTATTATATTATATTATATTATATTATATTCTATTCTGTTCTATTCTATTATATTATATTAAACTATATTAGATTATATGATATTATATTATATAATATTATACTATATTATACTATATGAGCTTAAAGGGACTCCTACAGCCAAAGACCTGAACGAGGCGGCCTTCGTCCACATTCCCTAGGCCCAGCCGGCCATGGCGGCTGTTCCCCCAAGCATAGACGTGGCCGCCTGCGTCGGTGAGAGGGGGGGGACATCTAGGGTTGGGTTTAGGGTTTAGGGTTTAGGGTTTAGGGTTTAGGGTTTAGGATTTAGGGTTCAGGGGTTTAGGGCTTAGGGGTTATAGGGTTCAGGGTTTAGGGTGGGGGACGTTTAGCGTTAAGGGTGTACAGTGAACCCCAGAAAGTTGGAACATGGGTTATATAGGAGGATTGGTGCTGGGATCCCCTATACCTTACCTTAAGGACATGAGGATACCGATGTTCCAACTTTCTGGCTTCTGCTATAGGCATTTCAGGGTTTAGGGTTTAGGAGTCTAGGTTTTCGGGATTTCAGGTTAGGGAATTTAAATTTAGGGTTTGGGCATTTCAGGGTTTAGGGTTTAGGGAGTTCAGGGTTCAAAGTGATGCTTTCCCTTGACTGCGACCTGGAGATTCTCAACGGCTTCGGGCATGGGTTCTCTAGTCGAAGCCCGACACACTACCCCTGAGCACCTGAAATATCGAGGCCCTAATATTATGATGTAAGGTATATTCCTTAGTTCACGGGTTTTGGGTTCTCTGGGTGCCCCTGAGCCCTCAACCTCAGAATCCAGAAATGCGTCAGAGGGTGTAGCAATCAGGGTGTAGCAATCTACGAATTGTTGAGCTTCACCACGCGCCTTTAATACGACCTCATAGCTGTACGAGAGCATGTGGGGCTGCACAAGCTGTACAGCAGCCCTGATATGATATGTGCTTCTCAATGGTCAACCCTAAACCCTAAACCCTAAACCGCAAGCAATGCTACCCGAGTTGCCGTAGCCAACAGCAAAGAGTCCAACACACTCCGAGCCTGAACATCATCACAACAAACTGCCCATGACACAGCCCACTAGGAATCTTGACATCATGAACCCTAAAACCATGGACCCTAAACCCCTAAACCCTAAACCCTAAACCCGCTAAACCCCTTAACCCCTAAACCCTAAACCCTAAACCCCCAAACCCTAAACCCCCGAAACGCCTAAACCCTAAACCCTAAACCCCTAAACCCAAAACCCCCTAAACCCTAAACCCTAAACCCCTAAACCCTAAACCCCTAAAACTAAACCCAAAGCCCTAAACCCTAAAACCCCTAAAACCCCAACCCCTAAACCCCAAACCCCAAAGCCCTAAACTCGAAACCGTAAACCCTAAGCCTTGAACCTCAAACTCGACAGTCCGAAGCTTCAAAACCCTAGCCAACCTTTAGGGTTTGGGGTTTTAGGGTTTAGGGGTTAGGGTTTTAGGGTTTAGGGTTTAGGGTTTAGGGGTTTCGGGTTTAGGGTTTAGGGTTTATAGGGTCTAGGGTTGATAACACGAAGCCCCGGAACCCTAAAATTTCCCCACCGCTTCCCCCAACTTGGAGGTTCATGGGCAGTTATAAGTAGGGTTTAGGGTTCACGGTTAAGGGTTTAGGGTTCATGGGTAGTTATAAGTGGGGTTAGAAGTAGGGTAACTATACTTATAGCCCATATTAGGGGACTTACGTCCCCACTTACAACTACCCCTAAACCCTCAACCCTATAGAATCCTTTAAAGGAGCCCTTAAAGGAACCCCATGACCCCACTTATAACATGCCCAGTCTTCTTCCGAGGGGCTTCGTGAAACCGCCAGGCAGTGTTGGAACCCGGCCGCGATGCCACGGAAGGGTACTCCGACTGCACTGTGACCTGAGGGTTGAACATTGGGGGTTGTGGGTTTAGGGTTGAGGGTTTAGGACTTAACGGTTCAGGGCTTAGGGCTTAGGGTTGAGGGCCGAGGGTTTAGGGTTGAGGGATGAGGGTTTAGGGTTTAGCGATTTAGGGTTTAGGGTTGAGGGTTTAGGGGTTTAGGGGTTGGAGTTTAGCGGTTTAGCGTTTGGGTTAGGGTTGAGGGCTGAGGGTTTAGTGGCTTAGGGTTTAGGGTTTAGCCGCTTAGGGTCCCTGAACCGGTTTGAGTATTCAGGGCTTTACATTCGTGAAAGATGTGAAAAAATTCCATCCTAGAACCCCAGATTGCCCT